CACTTCCCAAGCTATGTCCTTGTCCTTGCTTTGTCCTAATGTCAATAGCATTTAGTGTTATACATTTTTCTCTGTGTGGAAGAGGTTAAGCTTTAACTGGTGTGTGGTTTTATTTATTTTTTCCAGTTTACTAACCTGTGGGTTGATGTGCTTTTTTCTATCTCTCTTTGTATTAATACACTTCTTGTCAGCAGACATGTTCCACTGCTCTTCCATCTGAAGTCTTGATGAAAACATATGTACTGAAAACTATTTAGTTTGATCATATTTAGCAGCACACTGTATGTCCTTTTCCCTAGTATTAGTTTTCATATCTGCTTCCTCTTTTTTTTTTTCTTCCTCCCTGCATTTTTTAGTGTTAACGTAATCAAAGAAAAGTAAACATGCCAAAGAATAAGTTTCTCTGCATCTCATTTTCTCTTTCAGAGGAGAATCAGCCAAAGCAGGAGGAGGATTTGGGAGTTCAGTTCACTGACAAGTTCATCCAGGAGCCAGATAATATCACACTTCTCCTCACACTGTTGGAGGTAAGCTAGAACTGATATTTCATCTGCTGACTATACTTTTGTTGTCTTGTTGCTTTCCATATTACCCTAACATATTGCTGATGTTGTTTGACTCTTTTGCCTGCGGAAGGAGTTTGACTTCCATGTCCGCTGGCCAGGTGTTAAGCTCCTAACTGCACTTTTGAAAAGCCAGTGTGCTCCGGTCCAAGGCATCATCCTGGTCAGCCCAATGGGTTAGTCCAAAAATTTCCTTTTCTCTTGTAATTAGGAAAGCATCATTGCAAAATGAATGTGTCTGATTGTTTAGAACTATTTGCTGGTACCAGTGGTCTGCTTTTGTTTGAAAACACTGAGAATTACATGCAAAGTTCTTGTGATAAAACACAATTTATTTTTTGAAAGAAATTTTCAAATAATAAATGTGCAGTGAATTTTTTTATCACATTTCATATACAGTGTATATAAAATACATTACCGTTCCAACGTTTGTCAGTATTTTCTATTTGAATTTTTTTGTCAGTAAACATATTTATAATATTACAAAATTTCTGCTTCAAATAAAATCTATTCATCATAGAATCCTGGTAAAAAAGAACAACCATTGTTTTCACAAATACATTGTGAAGCCTAACATGGATAATAGTAAGAAATGTTTCTTGAGCACTAAATCAGGATATTAAAAAGATTTCTGAAGAATCATGCGAGTCATGAAAAATAGAAAACAGTTCTTTTAAACTAATAATATTTCAGTTTTACTGTTTTTATTGTAATTTTGTTTAAATAAATACAGCCTTGATGAGCATAAAAAATATGAATATTTAAAAAAATATTTATGTTTGAATTGGAGTGTGTGTGTATGTGTGTATATATATATATATATATATATATTATTTTACACATTTATTTAGCCAACTTAATGTGCTTTATAAACCAGCTGAGATATCAACAAAATGAAGTGCTGCCGACTATGCTGTTTATGACAGACAAAACAATGTAATCCAATAGACTACCACAATTAAGAATGATAGCCCACATATTCTCATTAAAAAATCAAACTGGACTTGGCTGTAAATAGAAAACACAAGAAACAAAACAAAAAGCAGGGCACCACATAGGGTGCATTAATGCAGTGGCAAGTCAGGATTCAGAAGCCAATGGTGCAGGTGCTGTTCACATAAGTTTCACATGTTCACGTTGGCACCCTGAAAATTAGTACTTAAAGAGATAATTCACCCAAAAATAATAATTTTATCTTCATTTACTCACTCGCACTGACTCTATTTCTGAATACGCTGGTCTCCGCTGACTTTAATTTTTGGGGGAACTAACCATTTAAAAAAAACATCTCCTGATACCTAAAGAAGTTTTAAAACCAAAGCATTAGTGGTCATTTGAAATGATTTTGGATTTGCTAGGTATTGCACTGCTTGCTTGCAATGTAACAACCAATATATACTTAAAGCGAACAATGTGACAACTCCAGCACCCTTTTGTTCAGTTAATCCTTGAGTAAGTGCCACTCCCAAAAATCTAAGCAGCCACAAAAGCTGTTTATATGTGGCTTGAGGTGACTATAGGTTTAGTGGTTAAAGACTAATATCGAAGACTATAGAAATACAAAGACGGTTCACTCCTATACTTATGAAT